ATACAGTCCTTCAGTGATCTCCCAAGACACTTGGACATCATCCAGTTCAGTGATCCCTAACCCAGGAACAGCTGAATGGCTAGGTGACTGCAATCAGAATCACCTGGGAGGGTTGTTTAACCCTATCAGGTCCTATCAGAAATCTATGAAGTTGAAATCTCCAGAGGCTAAAATGAGAAAATGGGAAAAAATAAATAAAACAGCTCTTCAGTTGTTTCTTTTCTTTCTTTTTAAAATAATTTTATTTACTTTTTGGCTGTGCTGAGTCTTCATTGCTGCGCAGGCTTTTCTCTAGTTGCAAGGAGTAGGGGCTACTCTCTAGTTTCGGAGCTCGGGCTTCTCATTGTGTTGGCATCTCTTTTTGCTGAGCACAGGCTCTAGGGTGCATGGGCCTCAGCAGTTGCAGCACGTGGGCTCAGTAGTTGCGGTTCCAGGCTCCAGAGCACAGGCTCAATCGTTCTGGCGCGTGCGCTGAGCTTCTCTCCGGCATGCGGGATCTTCCAGGTCAGAGATTAAACTCGTATCTCCTGCACTGGCAGATGGGTTCTTCACCACTGAGCCACCAGGGAAGCCCTCCATTGTTTCTGACCCTGAATAAACAGATATTTGAAAATCATGCACACTTCAGACTAGGCCCCACAGCTTTCCACCCTGTCCTATGGGCTCTTGCTATAGCCCACTTCTTACTGTTTAACCCCAAGCTTGCTTTGTTATGCCCATTCCACGTATGACACTGTGGTCTTGACTTTTCCAGTTTCGAATCCCGCATCCAAGTTGTCCTACAGACACAACTCAACTTTTTGTCCCAAGTCACACTTTTCCTTCTTTGGAGTAATCTTCATGGTCTAATTCCACCTACCAATTTAATCCTAGATCTTGCAATTTTTTAAAATTAGTAACCGTACTGTCCTGTTCTTTTTTTGAAGCTGTGCTGCGTGGCTTGTGGGATCTTAGTTCCCAAATCAGGGAATGAACCTGAGGCCTCGGCAGTGACAGCACAGTCACTGGATTGCCAGGGAATTCTGTTTTTATGTTTCTTATGGATTGCTTTGTCTTCTCTATCAAATGTAAACCGCTGGGAGCAGAAACTTTGTGTTAGGAGTCTTTAGTTAACTAACTTACTTTAGCCTAAGGAAGATGGCCACACTCAGGCCTGACTATCTAGACAGTGAAGAAAAATAGGTCTGCAAGCCTGTATAGATGGGTTGATTCCCTTATGCTTTCCGATCACATTTTCCTAAAAGCTAAAATCCATCCTGGTTCCTGCAGGCCTTACTAGGTCCTTCACTTTTAACAGTGGTGCCAAACAGATGGCAGGTCAATTCAACTCCTCATTAAAGGAGAGTGTGCTTTCTGGAGACAAGTGTTAAGGCAGCTCTAGCTTTCTCCATGGGCTTCCCTGGTGGCTCAGTGGTAAAGAATCCACCTGCCAATGCAGGAGATGCGGCAGATGTGGGTTTGATCCCTGGGCTGGGAAGATCCCCTGGAGAAGGAAATGACAACCCACTCCAGTATTCTTGCCTGAGAAATCCCATGGACAGAGGAGCCTGGCGGGCTACAGTTCATGGTGTCACAAAGAGTTAGGCAGGACTTAGCAATTAAACAACAATAAGCTTTCTTCATGGGTATGGGTGTAGGCTAGTCAAACATGTGAAGAGCACACCACTGAAACAGTTAACCAATAAAACAGTGAAGAATAGCAAGACTCACCTTCCAACTTTCACTAAAAAAAGCTTCAAAACTTCTGAGTAAAATACAAATATAGTTGCTAATTATTCTAATTCACGCTATACCTAATTACTGATGGCCAATACTTGGGAGAAAGACAAAATTAATTCATTTAATGAGAACATTTAGAGATACTTTGAAGATAGGGTTAATGATATCTTTGGTCATAAATCTAGGATTTCCAACTACTTCCCTGTATGATGTTACTGTCTGAGTTTCAGTTCCAGCTCAGCTGATGAAATGTGAGAATAAATATTTGAAAATAAATTTTAATCTGAGGCTGAACAAATCCAGAATTACTGCAACTCCCAACGTTTTCAGTATTAAGCCATCTTTTAAAGCCAATGTCAATGTTAACAAGGACTTTTAAAAATAAGACTTCAAATTTATCTCATCTTTCTCGAGTTTGGAAAAAGTGCAACACGGCCATTTATTTATCAATGGCACACTAAACTCGTAGAAGCAATTTCTTCTTAAATGAGTAATAAATACCAAGAATGAGGAATTTCAGAAATTACACCTCTGATGTTATCTCCTTATTATTCTATTCTGGTCAAAGTGCAGTCTCTCCTCAATTTGTCTCCTCTTCCATTCACTTTTTTAATTTGGCAGCACTGGGTCTTAGCTGAGGCATGCAGGATCTTCAGTATTTGTTGTGGGATGCAGGATCTTTAGTTGCAGCATGTGAGATCTAGTTCCCTGAACAGCAGTCTCATGTATTTTAGCCACTGGAGCACCAGGGAAGTCCTTCCCATTTACTTTTTTAAAATTTGGCCATGCTAGGTCTTCTTTGAAGCTCACAGGTTTTCTCTAGTTGCAGTGAGCAGGGGCTACTCATTGCAGTGGCTTCTTATTGTGGAGCACGGGCTCTAGGGCCCACCAGGTCAATAGTTGTGGCACACGGGTTTAGTTGCCCGCAGCGTGTTGAAACTTCCCAGAGCAAGGATGGAACCCATGGCCCCCATATTGGCAGGCAAATTCCTAACCACTGGACCACCAGGGAAATCCCATTCTTGCATCTTTGTTGTGGAATGTGGGCTTCTTAGATTGTGGCACAGTCTTAGTTGCCCCATGGCATGTGGGATCTTAGTTCCCCGAGCGGGGATCAAACCGGGTTACCCTGCATCAGGGGGCAGATTCTTAACCACTCGACCACCAGGGAAGACCCCTCTTAAAGAGTCAGCTCCACTGATCTGTCAGGCCATTGTAAATCCTTCCTTCTTTGAATACTTGTTAACACTCCCACTTTGAAGCATGTAATCTATTAAGGATTGATGTCTAGTTGTTTTGTAGAACTGGGGGCTTTTTAGTCCTCTGACTGCACCAGAATCCCTCACACCTTTAAGCAAACAGTGCTTAGTTCATATCAGTTCAGTTCAGTTGCTCAGTCCTGTCCGACTCTTTGTGACTCCATCAATCAGAGCACACCAGGCCTCCCTGTCCATCACCAACTCCCGGAGTTTACCCAAACTCATGTCCATCAAGTCGGTGATGCCAACCAGCCATCTCATCCTCTGTCGGCCCCTTCTCTTCCTGCCCCCAATCCCTCCCAGCATCAGGGTCTTTTCCAATGAGTCAACTCTTTGCATCAGGTGGCCAAAGTACTGGAGTTTCAGTTTCAACATCAGTCCCTCCAACGAACACCCAGGACTGCTTTCCTTTAGGATGGACTGGTTGGATCTCCTTGCAGTCCAAGGGACTCTCAAGAGTCTTCTCCAACACCACAGTTCAAAAACATCAATTCTTTGGTGCTCAGCTTTCTTCACAGTCCAACTCTCACATCCATACATGACTACTGGAAAAACCATAGCCTTGACTAGACGGACCTTTGTTGGCAAAGTAATGTCTCTGCTTTTTAATATGCTATCTAGGTTGGTCACAACTTTCCTTCCAAGGAACAAGTGTCTTTTAATTTAATGGCTGCAATCACTATCTGCAGTGATTTTGGAGCCCAAAAAAATAAATAAAGTTTAACGCTGTTTCCACTGTTTCCCCATCCATTTCCCATGAAGTGATGGGACAAGATGCCATGATCTTAGTTTTCTGAATGTTGAGCTTTAAGCCAACTTGTTCACTCTCCTCTTTCACTTTCATCAAGAGGCTTTTTAGTTCCTCTTCACTTTCTGCCGTAAGGGTGGTGTCATCTGCGTATCTGAGGCATATAAGTATCCATAAATACTTTTGACTGTAATTCCACTGCCTATCCTAAGCGGTTACATTAGAACATGGAATGCTCCTCTTCCATTACCCATTTTATTAGTGGACACTGATATACTGGCCTACTCACTAAGTGTTCAATAATGAGGACACAAAATATACTTCTTTAATGTCTCAACTGGGCTTCCCTGGTGGCTCAGACAGTAAACAATCTGCCTGCAACGCGGGAGACCCAGGTTTGATCCCTGGGTCAGGAAAATCCCCTGGAGAAGGGGATGGCTACCCACTCCAGTATTCTTCCCTGGAAAATCCAAGGACAGAGGAGCCTGGTGAGCTACAGTCCATGAGGTCACAAAGTTGGACACAATTGAGAAACTAACACTTTCACTTTTTCAATGTCTAAATTAAGTCCTCTCTACCTACCAACACTGATGCCTACTTAGAGTAGTGGAGATAAAAGCAATGACCTTCACATAAAAGATTATTCCTCATTCTCTCACATTTAGTTTATATACTTGAAACAACTTGAATAAACCCTTCAAGTGGCAAATGCAGTACTACTTTAAACATGTTTTTTTTCTGTCTTCTCACTGAAGGGGTAAGCTCTTTTTTAAACAGAATTTTGCCTCATCCCTCTGCCTCTTCCCAGAGATGCTGGGGTCTCAGAGGGTCCCTCAGGCACCTGGAGGCAGCAGTTCACTCTGCAACCCATGTCCTCCAATGGTGTGGTCAAAGACCAAGTGTCATGGGTCTACTGGCTCCAGGATGGGGACAGTGTTTGAGGTCAGGAATCAGCCAGGAGGTGCCTGGAACTGAGACCTCAGCTCACTGAAACAAGGGGGAGCCTCTTAGGCCGCTGGACACAGCACCTCCACCTCCCTCCTCGCCCCTCAACCTTTTGAGCACCGAGGTAATCTCTTTAGATGAGGGGGCGTTCCATGGCATACTCCTGAGCACTTGACACAGCTGTTCTGTACATGGTAGGCACTCAACACTTTTTTCAATCAGTATTTTCCAGAATATAAAATCTCACAGTATTTTTCTCTTAAAATGATCTCTGTATAGTGATTCCAAACATTTCTACCCACACACAGGTAAATAAAGGAAAGGCCCAATAAGTTGTTTAAAAGTTTTGTATTGTGTCATACAAACTGTCTTCAAAAACAAGTGCATAAGTGAAAAATTTTTCTTCCCTTTGCTCCCCAAACATTACAGTAGACTAATTCTTGCTAATAGATCACAAAGGTAAAACATTATGTCCCCTTTTGAATTCTAAACAGTTAATTTTAGACACCAGTTTCCAAATTTTGTAATTCACCAACCTGGTATGGACATAAACAGTTCCAGTGCTTTTCAACTTATCTGTCCCTGAAGTTTTCTCTCTTCAAAGTTCCAGGCAGTAACTGATTTTAATGCCCTCAAATTAGATAAAGCTGACTATTTAGAGCTTATAAATTATTTACACTATACAATCACTTAGAACTATGACCTACACATTACACCCCTCTAACTACTTAGCACCATGAACAGAATTCTCAATACTAATTGATGGGCTAATTAATCCAATGATCAAATATATGACACTGATAGTCTTAAAAAAAACTCATTTGTTATTTTTCTTATATATAATAGAAATTCCCTCCTGTCTTAAAGATTTTTTTTTCTGGCAATATTCTCTGCTGCCTTGACTATCCTGAACTTCTTGCTTGATGCTAATAACAATTCCCTAGGTCATTAGTAATGAGAAGCTAAGGCATTAAACCTAATAGGCTCTAAGCTAGTTTAAATGTGAAACACTATTTATAGAATTGCACTGTACTTATCTTCTGTCATGGTTCTCCAAAGTGCTATGATTCCTTAAGATATTTGTCCTGCATAAATTCAAATTCTGTATCTTTCACTTTTGGATGGCTTGAGTACCATAAAACATGATTTATTTGGTAGCAAAAACACCTTCAGGAGTTTCAAAAGGGACCACTACTCAGCTAAAAAAGTTACAATCATCACTTTTCCTTAAACCTAGAACATATCCCACTGATTGGAAGGAAAAATCCCATCCTTCTGTTGGTAATAAAAATGGAAAACAGTATGTTAAGCTGTGTGCTTTTTAAAAGGTGCTACACAAAGTCATGTTTTTAAAGTGGTCACAAACATTGCTTCAGTGACATTTAATCTTCAACATATGCTACATTATTCCTAGCACTTTTGTACTTAATCTCCATGCATAACAAGTTCAGGTATCACAATAATCCTGGATCTAAAAGAACGAGTTCACCACCAATATTTAAAGCTGATTCTTCCCAAGAAGACAGGATAGTTTTTCCACTATGCAGTGATCAAAGTGGTATTCTCTTAGGCTAAGCTTTGTCAAGGCTCAGACAAAACCCTGAGGTGAACTTAGCAAGGTCCTTGTAAAGAAATCTTCAATGAGAAACTCAACACATGGGAATTTTAAAGCTTCAAGGCTGGCTCATTAAACAGAAATGCCACAGGCTTTCTTAGAACACTGAGTCTAGTGATTGTCTATGTCAAGGAGGCACATACACAATTTTACTAACTCCTGATTAGTCTCTTCTGTATGGAAAAATGCAGTCAGTCTGACGAAGGGCCTATAAAACATTCTGCCAGGCTTAGCTCTTCTAGAGAGCATGAAGAAGTGAGGGGCAAGCACTAGGAAGCAATTAATATAAGTGTATTGGTGAGTGCATCTCTGGGGAAAAAAATAAACCTATACAAGGCAATGGCTATCCCAACCAAATATTTAAACAAGAGTTTAGTAATCTAGTAATGGTTTCCAACGTGTTTACCTTTGAAGGTAAAGAAAGATAAAACCCTGAAAGGAAGAGTAAAATAACCTTGTAGGAGAAAGAAAGCTTCATTACATTTTACTTATTTGTTTGTTCTCATTCATCCCAGTGAATTTGGGTCAAATGTGTGTACTTCTTAGAAAAGACAGGCTCCTCTGGGGAGCACTGTTCTGATCCTACCTTTTTCTAGCCAAGTTCCTGCAAAAACATACAGCCTGATTTCCCCATTCTCATCACTATCTGCAACAGGAGTCAGTTCCATAGCTATCGGCTGAACTTTAGCACTGATCTCTGTAGAACTGATTTCCCAATATGATTTTTGTTCTGTCTCCAGGAAGCACAGCATGAATAGAAAAGACAGAAGTCCTTCCCTGAAGTCCTTCCTAGGAAAATGCAGTTGCGACTGCGACAGAGTGCAGAATAGTGTATGGCAAAAAATTCCTCTTGTGAGCTTAGCCAAACACATATGGTATACATATTCCCCTAGGCATAAAAAAGTTACATTAATTATGTCAGCAACAGAATCCAAAACATTGGCAGATCAAATTCTAATGTGGCAAATTAAACAGTAGACAGTGCTCCACTGGGTTAATAAAATCAGAATTAGCTAAGACACAATACTTTAAATACCACATCATTGAAATCTCCTAGTGGGCATGTCCCCTTCATCAGTTACTTTTAAAATAACGGTCATAACAGGAGAAAGAACAAGCACCATGCTCACTAATGCAGATTACTGGACTGCTCTGATTAAGCACTGCAGTTCACAGATAAACATTTCACATCTTTCCTTCAAGTTACTGAATCTTTCTTCTTCCGGAATGGTGATTTTAGCCTCTTCCATACACTATTTTTGGGCTTAGATTTTTTCTCCATGGCCAGCACTGCCTCCTTTTCTTTCCTACGAATCTCCCGGACAAGGGCATGGAATACATCATCGATGTAGTAGCGGTATGCAGCAGATGTCTCAAAAAAGGGGCAGCTGAATTCTCGGGCCAAAGCCAATCCTTCTTCCTTGGTGACCTTTAAAAATGTAAACAAGAGAACACTTATAGTGGTAATCGTATAGTGGAATTTTAGCTGAGCTATTTAAAATCCTAAAAGACAATATTGTTAAAGTGCTGCACTATGTCAACAAATCTGGAAAACTCAGCAGTGGCCACTGGGCTGGAAAAGGTCAGTTTTCATTCCAATCCCAAAGAAAGGAAGTGACAAAGAATGTTCAAACTACCGTACAGCTGTGCACATTTCACATGCTAACAAGGTCATGCTTAAAATCCTTCAAGCTAGGCTTCAGCAGTACATGAACCAAGAACTTCCAGATGTATAAGCTGGATTGAGAAAAGGTAGAGGAACCAGAGATCAAATTGCCAACATCTGTTGAATCATAAAAAAAGCAAGTGAGTCCCAGAAAAACATCTACTTCTGCTTCATTGACCACACTAAAGCCTTTTTGACTCTCTGTGGATCACAACAAACTGTGGAAAATTCTTTTTTGAAAATTCTTAAAGAGATAGGAATACCAAACCACCTTACCTATCTCCTGAGAAACCTGTATGCAGATCAAGAAGCAACAGTTAGGACCTTACCTGGAACAATGGACTGGTTCAAAATTGGGAAAGAAGTATGACAAGGCTGTATACTGTCACCCTATTTATTTAACTTATATGCGGAGTACATCAGCAAAATGCCAAACTGGATGAAGCACAAGCTGGAATCAAAATTGCCGGGAAAAAATATCAACAACCTCAGATATGCAAATGATACCACTCTAATGGCAGAAAGTGAAGAGGAACTAAAGAGCCTCTTGATGAAAGTCAAAGAGGAGAGAGAAAAAGCTGGCTTAAAACTCAACATTCAAAAAACTAAGATCATGGCATTTGGTTCCATCACTTCATGGCAAACAGACGGGGAAAAAGTGGAAACAATGACAGATTTTATTTCTTGGGTTCCAAATTCACAGCAGTGACTTTAGTCATGAAACTGAAAGATGCTTGCTCCTCGGAAGGAAAGTTATGACAAGGCTAGACAGCATATTAAAAAGCAAAGACATCTCTTTGCCAATAAAAGTCTATATAGTCAAAGCTATGGTTTTTCTAGCAGTCATGTATGGATGTGAGAGTTGGACCATAAAGAAGGCTGGGAGCTGGAGAATTGATACTTTCCAACTGTGGTGCTGGAGATGACTCTTGAGAGTCCCTTAGATAGCAAGGAAATCAAACCAGTCAAACCTAAAGGAAATCAACCCTGTATATTCACAGGAAAAGACCCTGATGCTGGGAAAGACTGAGGGCAGGATTGAAGACAGAGGATGAGATGGTTGGATGACATCACTGAAACTCGGTGGTTTGATGACTTTGAGCAAACTGGGAGATACTGAAGGACTGGGAAGCCTGGTGTGCTGTCGTTCACAGGGTCGCAGTGTCAGACAAAACTCAGCAACTGAACAACAGTAGAAAATAATTACAACTGCCACCCCAAAATGAGGGTAGCAGGGAGAGACCTCTCCAACTCTGGTGATGTCCATGCAGAGTGATATTTGTATTGTTGAGAGGCGGGATTATTTCACTTCTAAGACTCCTTCCATCTTCAAATTATGTGATTCTATTTCTAGTCTATTTAAAGGTAACTTTTTGGAACAGGGAATATTTATAGATGTCAAATATACAATCTTAATTTCCTCATACATTTCAAGAAAGTAAATCACAAGGCAGAGAGATGTTATAATTAAGTTACAATACTGAAAACTGTAAGAACCTGAAATTGACATATCAAATTATGAATATAACAAAATTTCTCCTACTTTTGGACAGTTAGCCTTTTTCTAATTTTTTGCTGCCATAAATAGCCTAGCAACAAATATTTTATATATAAATCCCCAAATAGATTATTCTGAAGAGGAAGCAACCAAGAAACATCATGAACTTAACTACTATCCAATTACTTCTAAAAATTCTGTACCATTCATTCATTGCCTTCACTAATGGTGATAAATATGCCCCTTTCACTACACCTTCATCTCTATACCAAAAAGCAAAATTTTAAACACTGCTGCTAATTTGAAGGGTATCACTCATTCTAAAATCCTCTACAATTTCTCTTATTCTCCCTCTACTGGGCTCATAATCCTCACCATCAGGAAGTATACCTTGAAGTCTAAGTTTCTCTTTTTGCAACATAAACAGACTTATTTCTGAGGTTTTAGGAAATGAAAATCCCATGATACCTCCATCTGTGCTTGTGCTCACTGTGTCTGACTCTTTTCGACCCTTTGGGCTATAGCCTGCTAGGCTCCTCTGTCCATGCAATTTTCCAGGCAAGAACACTCGAGTGGGTAGCCATGTCCTCCTCCAGGAGATCTCCCCAACCCAGGGATCGAACTCACGTCTCCTGTGTCTCCTGCATTGCAGGTGGGTTCTTTACTGGCTGAGCCATCGGGGAAGTCCATGATGCCTCACTTAAAGTGTATCCTACTTGTCATCTGATTTGTCACCTGTGGATTTTGTCCTGTAAACTGATTCCTACAATCCAGATTTTACCCAAAATACTAGCAAGATATAGGGACGTTTTCCAGGCTAGGGAGAAGCTAATTTTAAATTTTCATTTTAAGGCACAGAAATTTATAAACCAAGAAAACACAAATGACTAATCTCACAAGATTACATATAGCATTTTCTAGTCTATCCTCACCTGTCTTAGCTGCTTTAGGTCAGACTTGTTTCCCACAAGAACCACAGGAGTATCATCAGTACGTCGAACTCGATAAATAAGCTGTTTAAACTCCCGAACTTCATGGAAACTTCGACGATCGGTAATGGAGTAACAGATGATAAACCCTTCTCCTGCCCTCATATACTGATCCCGCATGGCTGTAAACTCTGCCTGGAGGGAAAACAAGGGTCATTAGTGTATTAGTAACAACCCAAAACTATACATACTTTAGCTATTTAGTTCAGATCAAAGAGAGATGTTTGTTACCTGCTGTCCTGAGTCAGAGTGCATGAAAAATTAAAAGAAATGAACCAGTGATCTTCTCTGCATAAGTCTTTCCCTCTCCTCTACTAGCATGAAAAGGCCTTTACTCATAGCATTTTGAGATTTAATACCTGTCCAGCCGTATCCAAAATGTCCAGATTGGCAGGCTCATCATCAATACGGATCCGGATTTTATAAGCATCTTCTACAGGAAGGAAGAGAGGCAGTACCATCAACTCATAAACGCAGGAATGTGCAACCTTATTTTGAAATTCATCTTATGGAGAAGGAGATTACACACAAGTTTCTTTAAATGCCCAGATGTTCAAAGGAAGCCCCTAAATCCATTCAGATATGTAAATTGGGTCTTCAACTAATTTTTTTCTTCCACATAAGCCATGACATAAGTTTATTCATAGCTTAAACTTCTAAGAATTCACCTACAATTCTAACCTAAAAAAGAGCTCAGAGATTTTCTTTTTGAAAAATGTCAGGCCATAAAAGTAATTTTACCATTTATTAAATATATTAAACACTAAGCATTATATTAAGTGATTTATATATAAACTCATTCAATAGTGAAAATAATTCAGTGAGGTGGTATTAACTCCACTTTACAGATTAAAAAAAAAAACTAAATGTTACAAAGTTCATTAATGATTTAACCAGAATCAAAACCAAGGGCAGCTTGACTTGACTCACAAGTTTTCTTTATAGTTCCTCCTCATTTTTAATACAGGAAAAAGAAAAATCAGAGTCTCCTAGAGAATTGATATAGTCAAAATTTCTCCTTTATGAGAGCCATTTCTTTTTGTGCATTATTATGGTAATCTTGGAAAATACAGAAAAGTAAAAAAGAAAAGCCTCACTATTTCCAATATTCAAACATTTGCTCCTTACACCCTGATGTACTTCCTTCAAACAGTTTTTCTTGAATCCCTGCTTCTGACTCTTCCTCAAAGATGAAGGGCCTACTAAACCAATGATTTTCAAACTACAGGTCATGTATCCATCAGTATTTGTGAGCTGTGGATGAATTTAATGGGTTAGGACCAGCGTTAAAATAAACAAGGAGAAATCTAAAATGAAAAGAGGAAATACAAAAACATACTATGTATGTTACAAAAAAGTGTAACATACGTAGTGAGGTAAACAGAGTTTCATGGTATTTTAATTACATATACATATGTGCAAATGTATACTTATATGTGCATGTTACAATATATATATTTTCTTCTTAGATTTAGCAGTCAAAATTTGCAACAAACTTGCACTAAATTAGAAACTAAATGAGAGGCTTCTCCATCCATGGGATTTTCCAGGCAAGAGTACTGGAGAGGGTTGCCATTTCCTTCTCCAGGGATCTTCTGGACGCAGGGATTGAACGCAGGTCTCCCACATTGTGGGCAGAGGCTTTACCCTCTGAGGCACCAGGGAAGCACGAATGAGAGCAGACACCCATATCTTTTTGCTCACGACTGTAACCCCAGGGCCTAACACAGTGCTTGGCACATAACTCAATAGGTAAAAGCATGTTATTGAATCAGATAATGTTGTCAGAAGAGCAGCTGAGTAGGGGGGGAGGGGAACTTTGTCAGGGGATAAGTTTTTAGTTGTTGGTTTTTTTTTTTGCGGGGGGGGGGGGCTGGGGGGAGGGGGAGGTCCACCATGCTGCTTGCAGGATCTTAGTTCCCTGACCAGAGTTGGAACTTGTGCCCCCTCGAATGGAAACACAGTCTTAACCACTGGACTGCACTGTCAGGAACGTCCCAGGTAAAGCCATTTCTAAGTTCTAAGTAACTTATCCTAAGCCCTAAATTAATTTTGTTCCTAGAATTCCCACCACAGTGTGAATTCATGAACAATGTTCTAAATTTAATATAGTACATGAAAAAATAAGAACTGTTTCTATTTTCCCCAAGCCACAAAAGCATCTACTATATAAAATGACCATATCCAAAGATGGGTTAGCACAGAACACTCATTGGCTTGACCCAATGGAAATTCTCCCGAGACCCAAGACCAAAACAGTGTCACCTCCTCAAAACATAACTAATACAGCCGGCCTTCTGTGCCTCCCCATTCCCATCACAAGTTTTCTATAATCCTAGGATATAACTCCTAAAAATCAAACCTGTCTCCTTATGGTTCAGGAATAACAGTAACATGCTTAGTGTTTACAGAGAATAGCAATTTTAAAAAAATTACTTTTTACTCTGTTTTACTAATAACTGACCATTAAGGACTGTGAAAGACATGAAGAGAGACCTTGCTATGTAATGAACTTGAGGTATAAGGAAGTAAACGAAAGGCTTCTCGTGGAACAAGTCAGTCCAGGCTCTGGATGTCTGGGTTGTAAAGAGTTCAGCAGGCTGGCTCTACTTGTTTTTCTGCTTCCTTTTGTGGAAGTTCAAACCAGCTGACTCATAGTTAGAGTCAATCTCAAATCAGACCCTTAGAAAAATGATAGCAAAAGGCTTCTGTTAAGTGGCCCTTAAATTTTTCTTTTAACCTGGCAATATGGTATACCAACCATAAAAATATAACAAAGTGTCCCATTAATGTTCAATAAAAGACAGACTAAGATGGCTGATGTACATAAAGACAAGCTAGGAAAAAAGAAAATATTCATTTGCTTAGCAATCACTATGATACGCTTATTAAATAAGTCTGTTCAGGCACCAAAAAAGGATCAAAATATAAATGGTTTAAAACTGTTTCAAAAACTGACACAAAGAAACTTTTATGGGGTTTATTTGTAAAACAAGTGATACTCTGACTTACCAATGGTAGGATCATGATCTTCTGGAAATCGGTGGCTAATGAACTGCATGGTCATGGCTTTAAAACAAGAAATGAAAGGTAAAATCCACAGAAACATGACCCATGGAAAGAACTGTTAAGTATCAACACTATATGCTAGTCAGTCTCCCAGTTGATTTGGGTGGAAGGCATTTGTTCTAAGCATTTTTCATTCTTACTTCTTGTAAGATGTAAGAAAAACGTCACCTACCACTTTTCCCTACACCACCAGCACCCAGCATCACTAGTTTATATTCCCGAGACAGCCCGGCAGGGCTGCTACAGCTACCAACTGGGCGAGTCCCAGAATCCATTGTCCTCTTGGAGAATCCCGGGCTGCCCCGAGGAAAAGGCACCTAGAATAAAAGAAGAAAATATTTAATCCAGGATGGAGGCACTTGTGACAGGAGTCCTAGTCAGTGCCCTGCCTTCCCATACGCTCCCTTTCTGGCGGCCGTAAAAGAAATCCTTCACCATCACCTTCCCTCCCGGACAGCTCAGTCTTATGACTTATCACAGGTTTTCCGAATTATTACATTTTCCAGAAAGACAAGAGACGAAGAAATCTTTAATTTTTCAAACTGGGATACAGCAGGAAGAAGCCCAGTAAGAAAGTTGAGGTTTGAGGACCAAAGGAACACCTCCCCTTAGGCCGCAAGGGTCCTCTCACGCCAGCGGTACCCGGAGGTTCCGCCCCCTCCCCCAGCTGCATCTCCGGCCCGCCTTCAGGCCCTCCACCCTTCCGTTTCAGGGGCCAGCCTTCTCCTGCTGCTCTTACCGGTCGGAACTGGAAGGCCTCTGCCGGTCTGATCACCTACTTCGTCCTCCTCACTCGCGCCGAGGACCCGAGACTGACCTGTGACCCCTCCCGCAGCCGGGAAAGATGGCGCCAGCAGCGCCCGAGTCCCGACCGGAGGGGCGGGGCGGCCCCGTGACGCCCGCAGCTGGCCACACCCCCTCCGGGGAGGGCCATCTTCCCTCCAGGTCCTCAAACCTAGTTCCGCGCCTCACGGGCCCTCCGGGGGCAGAGTACCAAACTTAGGACATGCCCACAAAGGCGTTAAAACAATTAACAACTTACCCAGTACTGTATATGATATACAAAAAATTGGCCAAATATAATGGGTAAACAAAGGAAACGGGCACCCACCAAATCCTCCCCAAAACAGGACCAAGATCAAGTTTAAGGCTTAAGAGCAGAAAAAGAAAAATTCCCCCAAATGAACAAGAGCGATGATTTGGGCTCTTAAATGACTTGAGACAATCAGGTCTCAAAGTCAACTAGTTAGATTAATCAGATTTCTGCACATATTTTAAGCAAATGTTAAGTGAAATATTTAGAATTTTTAAAAAATTTTAACGAATATGCCTTCCCACAGGAAATGATAATTCAAGAGTTTTCAGGTGGCCTTAAACACAGCACAGATTAAGGAATTATCAACTATATTCACCTGTAGGTAGCAAAAACAATTACACTGGGAAATTTTTGTTTCAACTTTTGCACCCTTCCTTCTTTTTGAAGCAGATTTTCCCAAGAATAATTTGTATTTCCTTTAAAAATGCTTCCTTCACTCAGTATCTTTAACCATGTTCAATAAAGGGGGACAACAATATGAAAGTGGAAAATACCCATCATAAAAAGCCTCTATTTTCATTTGAATTTTTAAGGGTTTACTTTTACAGTGGTAAAACTTTTGGAACTACATGCAAACTTTTGGGTCTATGTAGGTATTTTTCTGATGGAGCTATAATATTATGTTGGGGCTTCCCTCATGGCTCAGATGGTAAAGAATCTGCCTGCAATGAGGGAGTCCCAGGTTCAATCCCTGGGTCAAGAAGATCCCCTGGAGAAGGGAATGGCTACCCACTCCAGTATTCTTGCCCAGAGAATTCCATGGATATAGGAACCTGGCAGGCTACAGCCCACAGGGTTGCAAAGTCAGACACCACTGAGCGACTAAAACACACGAGTAAAAAAGGTTATGAATTTTCACATATGGATGGGTTGTGGAATAAAAAACAAAGAAACCACAAGCAGAATATTTATACATTTATTTATATTGAAATTATGATCTAAATATTTACAACATATAGGAAACCAGAGGATACGTTTATACAAAGCCAGTCTGCAAAGTATTCAAATGTGCAAAAATGACAGTTCAGTATCTCAAACTACTCCTGGTTCAGCAGACTAGCTCCTTCACTTTCACACATCAATATTTGATACAAAAAAGTTCTTTTGGCAAAACCTGTAATGCCAAGAAAGAGGACAAGTTGCAATTTCAGTCACTAAGTCCACCATTCTATTCCAAGCAGTCAAATCTCTCTATTTTTAGCTGCAACCAGTTCTCAGAGAGACAGACCATTGGATGTCATTTCTGTGATGAGTTCTGACCAGCTTTTGATCAAGTAATTTTCTCAGACCCAGTTGAAGACAAGGAGCTTAGACGGGCAGTAAAAACAGCAATGGCTATCTGAGACAAGAGTGCCTGAAAGGTACCAGCTTTGGATAATCCCAATGGAAAAAATCCTTCAATATCCCAGGATTCAGCTATATCCAACAGTTCTGCATTAGTAAAACTGCATTTTCCAAAACAAAGAATCCAAAAAAATGAAATAGGGATGAGGAGGTTTTTAGATTTAAGTGCTGAAAGGAAAGGATGGTCTTAAAATCATTTCCCCACTAATAAATAGTAAGGCTTTGTCTGGAACCAGTTTTTATCAAAATTGATCAAACAGTAGTAAAATACAAATAAAACTTGCTTTATGTCAGAATAGGGGCTATTCATTTGGAAAAGACTGGACTAGGTCAAGGGTATACTGAAATGACCCTGTTGAACAAGCACATTTCATCAACTGTTAAAAAGCTTGAGACAAATTTGTAATTCTAAGTAAATTTTAACAGATGCTATGTCACTGCAGAAATAAGGATTTTCTTTAAAAAAGAATGGAAACCCTTTAAGAAAGGGCACACTCATCACTGACTTTTTTTCCCCCCAATCACTGACTTCTGCAAAAGTCCAAGATGGTTCCCCGTACAGGCCCCAGAGTCTTATTAAATCAAACGCATGCATTATTGCTAGAGAGTCACCAAGGCTCAAATCTCTGCTCCACTGTTGCCTATGGAGCCATCCAGAATGGCATCTGTTGTTTAGCTCGTGGTTGTGATGAAGGATACTGATATCCCAAACTCCAGCCCTGTGGAAAACTACTTGCATTTTTATGACCTCCGTGTTCCTCCTCTTCGTCAGATGAATCTGCAGCGTAAGCCACCAAGCCAAACCCCTTCTCTGTAGTTTTCATTTTCTTGACTGGATAATCTAGAAGAAAGAAAAATAACCCCAACCCCATTCCCCACCAAGAAGAAAAAAAAAAAGATAATACCATAAATTCGTTAATTAAAAAAAAGATGTTAATTGTGGTTAGTTGGACACCATTTTGAGGTCACAGGGTCAATGGTNGCCTGAGGAACTTGCCGGCTTCGATCCTGCACCTTCAATCTCATTCTGACTGGAGAAGCCTGTACCTAAATTAGTCATATGAATGGGTCCATGCTATGAGCAGAAAAATACAGTGGCATTAGCAAATCTACAACTGCTGTATTGACTTTAGCTCCTTAATGTAACTGTCAAGTGCCTCATCTTTCTGATAAACTGCAGAAAGCTGCACTACATAGCTCTCTGGGATTTGGAGTTAACTATACTCAGAGCACAGACTATTACTTTTCTCTGTAGGACTTGGCCAGAGATTTTGTGCTTCATTATGCTGTCTTTATGTTTTCAATTATCTATGACTTAACTGGTTTGTATAAATCTAGTTATAAACTACAAAAATGCTCCAAAGAATGTTTGGTTCAAAGAATGCTTCAGAGGATTCTGGCAAAGTACTTTTCTGGGTAAAACAAGACTGTACAAAAACTATGTATTTTAATAATCTAAAAAGACTCATCAGTGAATGAGTTTATAATCACATCCATGCACAGAATCACTGCATTTCTGGCTATCGTTTTTTCAGGGGTGCAGGAATTGGAGAATGACACCACCCTCTTGTTTAGCAGGGAGAAAAAGAACAGTGCCGAGGTTTTAAATACAAACCATATATTGGTACAGTAACAGTTCTTCCCTACTCATTTCACTACAAGCTGTAAGAGGCTTTCAAGAGTCTGCTGTATAAAGAGGAAGTGCAGAATTCTACAGAACTTCCAGATGCTAGTCATAGGCGACTTCTCTCTAGGTGGAGAGCTTTGTATTCTCTTATCACACTGACCCAAAGACAAAACCCACTCAAAGGGAATCAATCACTCTTGGCTTAACTTAATCCCTAAGGATAAATATCTTATTTAAATGGATTCCAGAATGTAGAAATCCTAGTATTGGGAGGACAGTTGACACAGATGTGAACTTATCTTTCTTTAAAGGGAGAATACAGTAAGATAAGATGAGAAAAGTAAGATAGGATATCTTATTTAACCTGGTATCCAAGAAGTCCAGATTCTCGTTCATCTGGCAGCTCCTCTGTGAATCGCCTCTTCTGTGCCTGGGGCTGACTTGGGAGTGGGGGCTGGGACCTCCGTGTTCCTCCTCTTCGTCAGATGAATCTGCAGCGTAAGCCACCAAGCCAAACCCCTTCTCTGTAGTTTTCATTTTCTTGACTGGATAATCTAGAAGAAAGAAAAATAACCCCAACCCCATTCCCCACCAAGAAGAAAAAAAAAAAGATAATACCATAAATTCGTTAATTAAAAAAAAGATGTTAATTGTGGTTAGTTGGACACCATTTTGAGGTCACAGGGTCAATGGTCACCCAAAAACGTTGAAGATCACACGAAAAACAGCACCAGCATCAGCAAATGTGAATCCACCAGAACCATGTAAGAAAACAGAGAAAGAAAAAAGAAACACACACACACAAAAAAAAAAAGGAAAAAAAAAAAAGGAAAGTTAGCAAGTAAGTCTCTGGAGTCTAATATTTCACCTTTAAAAAGTTAAAAGAAGAAAAGAAAAAAATATTTTCTTCTGTTCATTTTTATGACTATAGGCAAAGAACAAAAAACTAATCCCATTTATGGACCTCTCCAAATTAAGAGTTCTGAGATACTAAGAAGCAACATTTTTAAAAAAGACACTGGTTGACATTCCCAACCAATAAATAAGAGATATAAGGTGAGAGGTAGCTCAGCTCCCAACACAAAAATCTTTTTAGTCTGCATCAGACCTCCAAGTAGTCAAACAACAAAGGCAACAAAATTTTGAAATGACCTACCAATCATTACTTTTTCCTAAATGTCACTGATGCTATGTATAAAATGTAAGTCGACTGACTCTTTTCTAGACACACGTCGGTTGAAAATAAAAGGCTGTGTAACTATATGATGTCCTTATAAACAAACAAAAAAAAGTATTCTCATTAGCCAACAGATTATAGAGGTTGGATTAAACACCTGAATAAGTCAACCTGAATGAATATCAGATTAGAAAACTAATAGCTTAAAACCAGTCTTAGCCATTCCCTTGCTCCCCCAGCTACACCTTACTCACCATGACTCCCTGTTAAAGTCCCAGACCCATTCCTTTCGTCAGACTCTGTTTTTATTCCAGTCACTGGAAAGGCTGGTGGAGGCATCAACTGCCTGTTAAAAGTTAAAAATAATTTTTCAGACACATTCAACCTTTCCAGTAGATAAGAAGTTGAATAACAATACAATCTGCAAATAAAANATGACTCCCTGTTAAAGTCCCAG